TGTATTATTTCGATATTTTTTAAAATACCGAAAATCGATAGTATCTACCTCAGCATGAAACATATAAAATCTTATAGCTTCAAAAATATTTTCTCTAGAAAGTTCTGGATAGTCCTAAAATGTTAGAACAGTTAACAAAGTAAAAAAAAAAAAACCTAATAAAATAAAAACAATAATGAAAAGTTCATTTCAAAAAATGAACTTGTAATAAATAATAATTTTTATATGTTTTTTCAACTGCAGTAGATTTACATTGTGTTTGCTGTATTTCAAGTAATAAATACATAATGCATTCATAAATTATTTAAGCGGCAAAATCCACTAGATATTAATATGTAACCAAGCTTCTTAAAAAATATTTATTATGAAAATACCATAATTAAATTCAGTATGTAACAAGAATATTTTTCTTTTTCAATTCGAATATTGATTTAAAAGCTCTAAGAAAAATATTTTACTTTCACAGACCTGTATTTGAAATATATAACAAATTCCTCCGATATGTCGTAAGAAAATAACAATAACAAACATAAATATTAAATTTAACTTATTTTGAAACGCTCGATATATATTAAATCAGTTTTTCGGAAGGACTCTACATCAATATAAAAGAAAAAAATGTAAATTTAAATAGGCCATATTGACAGTAAGTCTACTTAGTGTTTGTAGGCTATGAATAAAGTTAAGGCTCAGATTAAGGCTTATGAAACAAATCAACAACTTCGCAGATTAAAATATATAAAACAGATAGTAGGTGTCGTACTACATCGAAAACTTCCGTATCTGACCTCATAAACAGACAAGTTTTCTTAAAAGATTCGCTTCTTATATATTTCCTAATATATTCATTACCATGATATTATTAAATCATTGCAAATCTCTCTCTCTCTCTCTCTCTCTCTCTCTCTCTCTCTCTCTATATATATATATATATATATATATATATATATATATAAACCCTTTCCTGGAATCACCATATCTCTCATATATCCCGCCGTGCAATTTTTTACATTTACATAATTAAAAAAAAAGAAATTATATTGTAAGAAATAAATGTTTTTCCTTTTTCCAAAGTTCCTAATGTATATGATAACATCTACGGCATAGCAAGGAACTAGTTTTCTTCTTCATTTTATTGATGATCAGCAAATGAGTTGTAAAATTTGATTCTGAAATTTTCGGTCCCTCATCCATCTCCTTTTCAATCGTTTTTTACTGGTAATATCAGCCATGTCGATTAATGATATGTGTATGTGTCTGTGTAGTTTAATATGAACATGAAAATATGGTGTAGTATGTATTTGTCAATAATTGATTCTTGTAAGTTGGTATTTAGAGTTTTGTTATTTAAGTTCTAACACTTATGCCGATGAAACACGTGGCCTATCAGTTAATAACGATTCAACAATTGCATCCCAAACTATTCGATCACACATCACAAACCTTGAAGAATTGTGTTAAAACTGGAGTATAAAAATAAATTCCAATAAATCCCATTAAATCACCTTTAGTCTAGATCGTAAACCGATCACTTTCTATCATACAGTACCCTTTAATAATACGCCAATTATCCCTGACAGACCAATGGCTAAAAATGTGTTTTTCGAACTCAAGGGATTCTGAAACGTATATATCCGTCGAATACCGCATATCGGAAATTTCACCCGATTGCAGTACTTTCCTTACTTAGTATAGGTAGGAAAGTAAAAAGATAGTACAATTATTTTAGTAGTTTGTTTAGGATCTTTTTGGTCCAATGTAATTTATTATGTCTCACGGAGAAATTTGAATGTTGCTTATTTGAACTTAATACTGTATTTCCAATGGATAACATAATTTGATTATAGATCGATAGAATCCGAAATGTCGTTAAAATGAGTCTATATTGGAGTTCTGGCAATGGCCAGATTCTCCACCCAAGTCATGAGTGTCCGTGGTTGTAGCGCCCTTACTCAATCTCCGCTGGCTTTTAATACCAGTGAAATGGTTGAGGAAGAAGCGCAGGGATCTCCTGAAGCCTTGCTTTCTCTCCACATGTGAGGGGATAAGTCTGGTTCCGAGTTCCCATGGCCGACTGTAAATAGTATAAATAAGTATCTCTGCATCTAAGATGTTTATTTTCATTACTTTTTTTTTAAGATAATTTTAATTCTATTTTATTCATTTATTTTCATTCTATTATTACTATTATTTATATTTTCTTACTTCACTATGATATTTTATTTTGTTCTTTTATAGCTTTATATTATTTGAAATTAGCTTTTTTTTTTTTGAATTTGTAAATATGGTGTGAATGAGCTCTCAGAACTCTATTATAAATGTCTTTATTGAGACAGATTGTAGTATTTATCAATAAACAAATAATCAATTGATAAAATGAGTCTTAAATAAAGTCACTTAAATATGCTGGTCTTATAATATATTTCCATACTCTGATTTACTTCAATTACATATTTAATTATATATATACATAAAATAAAATAAATTATAATTTAGCCGCTAAAATATTTCAGGGTCAAGAATGGGATGACCAGTCGTTGACCTTGCGAACGAAAATAGAGCCAAGGCGGGAACCGATGGTCTTAGAAAGTTTTGATTGAAGATGATAGTTGCCCAAAACTTTTTGACCCCTTAAAACAATTTGCGCTGGGAACTGGGATTTTCTCCCACTGATAATTTTCTCTTAGCTTCGATTTTCTCTTATAAAAGACTTTCGAATCAATCACTCGCTTTACAGATATTGGAAGTTCATCCAACTAATTTTTCTTGAGACTTCAGGGCTCTAATGATGATCAGTGAGATGGATTTTCACTGATTCAATTTCGCTATGATACGCATCGCGCAAATCAGCGCAGCAATTTATTAGAAATTAAGATTTATTAAACATTTGTTTAAATTGAAATCATAAAATAATTTTAGAATGATTATAATTTGTTATTATATACAACATGACATAATAATTTTAGAAAGTAGTATAGATCAGTATGAAAGGCCCTGAACTACAAACACTAGCGACAGGGTTCGAGTCCCTCAGAAGTACAAAATTTATTTCAAGACTCAATCCGTGGATCCGAAGAGCCTTAGGCGATTCACCTGTGATCTAATTACATAAAACGTTAAATTTTGTATTTTGGTGTGCACGAAAAAGTACAAAATGGTGTCACTTTATAATGATGTAACTATTAGATTTCTCAAGAGGCTTACAAAAAAATATTTACTTACAAAATTTGTTTAATTTTTCCACAATATTTCTACGATTTTTTAAAAATATATATATCTAAGGCAGTTTGAGAATTCTAGTTCACTACACTCGTTATGTGCAGTTAGGTTTCATTTATTTCCATTGTTTTTTTTTCCAAAATTCTTATTTTTATGAAACTTTCGTTTCTGCCTGAAGAGTAGTGTGCATGTCTACATAAACCAGGTTTGCAGACTGAACCAATACTTTATCCACCACGGAATCACAACAAACTAAATTTTACTCATTGTCCAATACTCAATGCACTAAATTTATACTTCGTGTTGCTTTAAAAATTTAAATAGTCTTAAAATTCAAAAGGTTTATTCTTAGTTAAATAATTTTATAATAATTAATTTTGCTCTTAAATTGCTGTTCAAATTTTTACAAAACACCATGACCCCAAACTAGCTTCATTAAATTCACAAAATAAATTACTAAATTTACAACATTGGTATTCACTCTGGAAAATTAGATTAAATCATAACAAATAACAACACATAACATTTACGCTTCGACGAGAAACATGCCTTCCAGTTTATATCAGCAACAATCCAATTCCTCAGACGGACACTATACACTACCTCGAACTAATATTTGACAGAAGGGTGACCTGGGACCCACACGTCAAAACGAAAAGAAAGACTTTGAACAAGCGGCTGGAAATACTATACTCATTATTTCCTAAATCAAAATTGAAAATTAGACAAAAACTAAATACATATACGTATCTGCTCAAACCCATATGGAAATACGCCTCACAGATTTACGGTTCAGCAAAATAGGCTCACTTACAAAAACTACAATCTTTTCAATCTAAAATTTTAAGACTAATAACTGCAGCTCCCTGGTATGTCAATAACAAGACTTTACGTACCGACCTAAGACAACCAACCATTGACCAGCACATACGTACTCTCTACTCCCGATTTCATCTTAAACTACACGGACATCACAATGGACTTATCAACGACATGGCCACGTGAAAAATGCTCATCAGGAGGCGACTGAAAAGGAGCTGGATGAGAGATCTCCTTTCCTGATTTTAGGATGTAAACAGACCAGGGAAGAGGTGCTGCTGGGTTTTATTCTTCGTCATGCCTATCATGCCATTTTCTACCTAACAACAAATCTGCTAATTGTCACTACCATAATAGGTGCGGATGAAGAATTGAAGACAAAAAAAAAAAAAAAAAATGCTGTTCAAACATTAGTCTTAAAATATCATCATCTAAAACTAATTAATATTAATGATTTGCTTACCAATTTTTTTCGGATATTATGTTTTTAAAAAGATCTCAGAATAGGATTAATAACAAAATTTCTTCGTGAATTCATATCAAGTCACTATAATAATAAAATAAATGAATTTTTTAAGAAATTATCACAATAAGAAATACTAATAAATTTCTGAAATATATTTTATTTGTAATCAGCCAATTAAATTTAAACAAATGAAAATCGGATAATAACATTTAAGTTTTTTTAATCCACTCCTGGAGTTTGACTCGCTCCTCATTACTCAGCGTGTCTATATGTACGTGTCTATTTTCATGCTATGAATGAAGTCAAGCAATGAATGAATCCGAAGTTTAAGTGTGTGTTAGAAGAAACACCTGGGAATTATATAATTTGTGCAAAAGATCAATAATAATGGAGTAGATAACAACCATAATCCTGTAAATGGGAGCAATCCACCTCTCCCAATCCCTGAACCCCTCTTATTTAAAGAGATTACCTTGGAGGAGAGGATAACGGTGGATTAACTGGCTCCGATAATCTCCTCAGGATCGTAAGATCGTGGCTCATCCCGCACAACGGGAGGTGCCTCTTTAATTTCTATCTGCCACGACCCGTCGGATGGTCTGCGAGTCATCCGGGGTACCAACAGCATCTTTAATAATCTCTTCGTCCAGGGTCGCCTTTCTAATGAACAACGGTACCGCTAAGATCTTAGCAAGGGTCTGACACTTTAGGACAAGACGCAAAAACGTGAGTTTACAATTAAAATCAAATTTTCAAGGAAAAAAAAAATGGATAATGGACTCATTTTACGTGAGGTCACAAACAAAGTTGATCCCCTACAAATAATTCGCAAAGTATATTGGTGAATGAACAAATGAAAAAGTAATATTGAAATAAGTTAACGCAATGTATTTTGAAATATTGAAATTAATTTTCTTTCTCTCAATTATATTTACAATATTTTATTCATAACGATAAACTAAAACATGTCTACTAATTACTATATGCTGTATCTTTTGTATTAATGGCCGGATATTATTGGTTTTTATTTATATCTGTTTTTATTTTTAGTTTTATAGGTATTAGAGTGCTACCAATGGGTAGTTTCTCAACATGTGTTTCATGTCATTATATCCATGTGCGAATTTACCAGATGTAGTTTTTGTATACAGTTGTAAATATCATATAAATAAAAGGGAATTTATTAAACATTGTTATATGGCATCCCATGGTTACAGTTGCTTAATTTGGTTACCTTTTGCTTTTTAGTAGTTTAGAAGTGGATGAAAAACGTTTCCAGCAGAGTTTACGTGTTGATAGAACATAGTAGTAAACTTTAATCATTTTAGCCATAATATATATATATATATATATTTTTTAACTTAGTTATTGAAAAATATTACAATCTGTCTCAAAGACATTTATAATAGTATTCAGAGATCACATTCACACTGTATGTACAATAAATAAAATAAATTATACAGAAAAAATAATATATATATATATATATGATGATAAAATGATAATAAAATAATCTAAAAATAAATAAATTTAAAAAAACATGCATACCTATGTACAATATTTACAATCTGGCAAGAGAACTCCAAACGAGACTTGTCCCTCCGACTGTGGAGGGAAAAGCATGACTCCAGAAAATCCCTGCACTTCTCTATCAACCGCGTCACTGGGGATAAAAACAGTGGAGATTGAGCAAGAGTGCTAAGAGTGCTTAGCCACAATAATAGATTTAAATAATAAATATTAACTGGTACTATTAGAAATGTAATAATTTAATTCGATTTGTAAGAGAATGTTGTGTAGCACCACACAACATTCACCGCACCTGATTTTAAGGTGGTTAGTTCAATAATAATAAATCTGTAGTTAAAATAAAGGACACTTTTATTATAGATCAATATTTAATGGTAATTAGATCATCATTTCCGATGATAATTACGACACCAATGATGATCAAATACCATGGGAACGATCATTGGCATCAGTTCGCGCTTAGATGACGTGTTGCCTGTCGCCTTGGACTCTGCTGACATGCCTGGTTGGAGTCTGGTTGCAGATGCAATAACCTCTGAGCTGGATCCTACTGTAATAACAATCTGATGATAACCTACAAGAGCTGATGGAGGCTGTAAAAGAAGATGTAGAATCAGCTAAAGATATGAAAATTCTGCCATCGTGGCTCAAGTTATTTAAGGTTATTACCGCGAATTATGCCTGTTAATACTTCTTGAAATATTTCTAGCAGTATGCACTTCTCTCACTAAAGTATGATAAATAATATACATATAAAGTAATTGATCAACATATTTAGACCGATACACAGCGTAACCAAGTAGAGGGGATAATGGACAAAAATCATTAACCACTAGTTATTTTGAGATAGACATTTTTATTATTTGATGTCTAGCCCATGAGTACCTAATGACAAAGGGGACGCCCCCTCAATGTCTCTGCTGCGGGGTCAATTTAACAGTCAGGCACATTTTGACCGAGTGTTATGCATATCAAACAGAATGTAATGAAGTCAAATTGGAGAATGGCATAACTGAAATTTTGAAAAATACCAACAAATCGGCAACAAAACTGTTTAAATTTCTACAAATAACGTACCTCTACAAATTCTTTGCCATATAACATCCGTCATGCCTCTTCACTGTCAACCTTCAAATACCTCCTTTTCCAATATCTCCTCACATCTTAAACAGGCGATTCGCAACCATAAATTTCATTTTATAAACTGAATTTGTGAGAAGTAAATGGTGGTGCCTACAGTTTAAGTTTTAACATAAAACATCAATGATTTTTTACTATTATTTTTACTATTTATTTGTAGTTCTCTTCACCTCAGGTTGTGCTTTTTCTTTCATGTATATATAAGTTTATATTTTATACTTTTTGTCTCACTGTGTAGCAATATGAGTAAGTACGTATATATAGTTCTTTTTTTACCTTTATACCACAATTATTCCTGAGATTTTATTTTATCTTAGTGTTTGCTTATTATTTTATGAATCACTGTAAATATTATTACATTTTGTATTAAATTATGTTTCTATTAGATAGCTATTATTTATAAATTGTGCAGTTATGTATATATAGATATGTAATTTCTTTTCTGTCTTTTTTTTTTTTTTTTTTTTTTTTTATCGTAATAATAAGTAAATTTGGAGAAGATTGTATGTTCATTTATGTATGTATGTATGTGTATGTATGTATATATGTTTATGTGTGTGTATGTATATATATGTGCGTGTGTTTATATATGTGTATATTTTTTTTATTTCTTCGTGGTTACATACTACTTTTTAAATAATGTATATTACGTTAGAATTTTTTTAAGTTAGTTTTTGGCCAGATTGGTATTTTATTTTGTATTAATTCATCTTTGTTATTCTAAGGGGACTTAGTCCCAGAATAAAGTTCTATTTTCTATTCTATTCTATTCTATTCTATTCTACCTATACAACAAAATTTAAATTTTGCTGACTCTTTTTTTTCTTTTGTTTTAAATATTTTGTGTTTTCAATTCATTGTTAAATTTAATTTCACCTGATATAATATAAATATTTTGTAAGGGCTAAAATGACCCGTAAGAGGTTGAGGAGCCCCTTTCATTGTTATAAATAAATAAATTAATTAATTGATTTCAATTCAAAACAAGATAACAATAGTATAATAATGTATATTATACAACTATAATAATATTAATTGTAATATTAATAGAAAAATATAGGAAGTAATAATATCAGGAATAAGAATATTATAAAATATAATATAAATGTAATGTAAAATGTGATATAATTGTAGCACATAATATAGTAATATTGCGGCAATAGTTCAGAGACCTTCTGTGAATAAGCATATATTGGAGTTTTGGCAATGGCCAGATCCTCCACTCAAGCCAAGTATGTTTGATTAGGTTAGTTCTTTTGTTTGTGTGCATATATTATTATTATTATTAGTTTCTGTATTATTTATTTTTACTTATTGTAAATAGAGTGTGAGTGTGCTCTCTGAACACTATTATAAATGTCCTTGATGTGACAGAATGTAATATTTCTAAATAAACAAATTTAAAAAAAAAAAAATTTAAAATACTTATAGTAATATTGCCATGGAATAATAATATTTTATAATTTTCTATGAAATATTAAATCATTTCTTTATTCATAGTCTCAATTTTTTGTGGATTTGTCAGAATGTAAACTTATATCGAAACCAATATCTATTTGATAATTATAATAATCTCTATTATATATTCATTAATATGTGGACTGATTTTGCTTTGCCTTTTTACATTTTTTCACCATAAAGAAAGCTCTGCGTCAGATGTCAGAAGAAGCATTATCATAATATCTTCCTCACACTATGCGGCAAACTCTTTCTTAGGTCTGCCTCCAAGCAAGCCGGAAGGACAATCAGGACATGAATTGCCCTTTTCTTGGTGATAATTGATAACAATTTCTTCTTAATTGATATCTTGTTCCAACCAGTCTTTATATAAGATCAAGAATGTTTTTCTGTGCGGTGAACACGCTCTCATTTTTTTGACATGTTAAATGAGAGTAAACTGGCATTCTTTTTAATATTATTCAATATTTCTTTAGCAGCATCGCGCAGATCAAATTGACTCAGTATATCCTCAAAGATTGATTCATTTTTCTTGGATTTATCCACTGGATCTGAAAATAAAAATCGTAGGAATCGGCAAATTAAATTACCCTTGTATATTATACTTGTGATAAACTTTATACTGTAAAAAATTGGGAAGGTGTTTTAAGAAGTGTTTTTGCTTGATTCATCAAAATTGTGAACTTAAAAAAAATGTTAAAGATCAATGAAAAATAATACAGGATAAATAATAAAAGAACATTTGCCCACAATAAATTATAACAGATAAAAAAAGGAATAGTTTTGATGTTATTTCCTTCGGATCACTTAATACAAACACTGTTATATCTTCAACGAGAGACGTTTAATGTTGGAATGAAACAGATTTTGAAGACCCTACCTTGTTTAAAATACTGCCAATGTGTATGTTGATTAAAATAAAAATAATGTTTATTGGTTTTCTACGATTCCAATTTCTTGAATAGTTTCTCAACGTAAATAGAAGATTTAAAGTTGAATTTAAGAAAATAAAAATTCATATTATTGTCCATTGAACGTTAAACTGTGCGATAATGCGATTAGATACATATTTTTGATTTGTCAATCTCGAAAAATAATTTTAAAAATTGTAATTGATAGGGTTTAATTGTAATTGATGAGCAATGAATGAGATATCAAATGAATGTTCGAATGTTCTTACACTAACAAATCGTCAAATCTGAAATATGATCAATACACATGACTGTAAAGACTCAATGACTTTATGAGTGCTTTCCCAGCCACGCAGTTATCTATATTTTTATTGATTTCGTTATCAAAAAAATAATATATATCATTTCTTTACTTTTTCTTTATAAATCTTTAAAACATGAGTAATATTAGCATATCATGCTATATGCTAAGGAAACCCTATGCGTGATTAAGAATTGTACAATTGCATGAAAGAATCCTACTGATAAAATAAACAATAGCGAATGTTAATTCCAACTCTAATGCTAAACTCGGCCCTGAGTTTTTACAAGGGCAGTAGGCATTAGAGTTGGACCACGATATTAAAGTAGTATATTCGCTGGTGGACTATCGGCCCAGCTGATTAAACAATAAGTTGTAGTGACAATGGAGGCCCGCTACAATACACCGAGAGTGTGTTCTTATCAAGCCGCTAAGAGTAGCTCTAGCGTTCAATATTGCCCAGATTCTGTAAACGGTTATAGAGTATATATACTTTATATATATATATATATACAGAGTGTCCCGTAAATAGAGGAAAATTTTTATAGAAGAGATAGTAGACATCAAGATCTACAAAAAAGTTCATATTAACAATGGATCAATTTTCAGCAGAAAAGTAGAAAATCCAAGATTTGTGTCTTTTTCTTTTAATGCGATAACTAAAGAAATATTTAATTTTAGTAATTAACAATAGCTTCACAGTAAACTAGATAAAATTTTCTTCAAATAAAAATAGAATATGTTAGTGTTAAAACTATTTAAAGATTACATTTGAGCTGCTAAACTAAGATAAGTTCTACCTTTAAAAATATCATTAATTATTGGAGATTTTTTATATAATCATACGACTATACCACAGATAAATAACTAAAGTTTAATAAGATTTAAGACCATATTAATTAATTAAAGGTGACTTATCAATTAGACTTCTATTAATCAGAAATGACTAAAATTGATTTTTGCAAAGTTTTTATTTTATTTTTTTCCATGATCTAAGATGTATTATAATAAACATTAACGCCAAAATACACATTTTATTTATAAAATGATATATTCGAAAAGTACTGATTTTTAAGATTTTTGTCCGGTAAAGTGGTTATGAAATATGAAAGTGGTTTTTCACCCACATATGTATTATGTGGATTTATCCTTATTTATAAATGACAAAGTTTCCTGATGTTAATATTACGTTTTCATTAAAATAATTTAAGCAATTAGCAGGTTTATTTATTTTAAATGTAATATTTTTACGTTTATCTATTGTTTATATGAACTTCAAGGTCTGCTATCACTTTTATAAAAAATTCGTTCTACTTACGGGACACCTTGTATATTAATAATAGGAAATAATATAATTTTATGAAAATAACACAACAATAGTCAAGATATAATATTAATTTATAACGATAACCAAGAAATATGTTGGAGGAAGCCAAATAATTGATCTTTAGTTCTTTGACTATCTTCGGTATTCTTGGACAAAAGTCCTGATGATGAAGATCTACGAGTTAGGTCGAAACGTATACAATGCAATGAATATTACTCCCATCAAATCTTTCTGTTGACAACTGTCTGTTGACTAACTCCTTAAATTATAAATACGATCAATTATTTTCAAACCATAATAATTAACATTTAGAACGAATATCTCAAATTATTTTTTAGAATTATATTTCTTGATTTAAGAAAT